TTGATGACAGCCTCAAATTATTTTCACGTCGCATCCGTCATTAAAGCTGATAGCGCCGATATCTATATATACAGGGTGACTGGTGAATGACTATCGATATTTGAGGACGTGATATTTGACGATCATATATGACAAAATAAAAATTAATATGACATAAATATTAATAAACTTCTAAGTAAAGTTAACCAAAAGTTATGTAATTAATTACGCATCGTATGAACACCCTACAGATTAGGTATACACACACACTCACACAGACGCGGCGGCGGCGTAGTGTTGTACGCCGCCGCACGCGTCCACACTTGGAACACTTGGGACGTGTACACACTTTATTTATTTACACGGAAATTTGGTCAAAAATTAAGTACCTATTTTTTTTACATAATTCGAATGAGAATCATGTACCGATTATGCTCCTTAAATATTGATAGTAATTCACCAGTCACCCTGTATAAAAGAAAGTCGTGTTAGTTACTCCACTTATAACTCAAGAACGGCTGAACCGATTTAGCTGAAAATTGGCGGGGAGGTAGTTTAGAGCCAGGAAATCGAAATAGGATACCTTTTATCCCGTCCAACAGCATTCCTGTGGGGCTTGACATGAAACGTCAGTCACTATAAAACGTGGAATAACGAAACACAGCTATGCAATTGACGTATAATGACAGATATGTAATGACGTAATGATGACAATTAGATATTTGTAAGAGATCTACTACAAAAAATAAGTCCGGTTTTCCACCCAGACGCTATAACTTCAGAACAAACGAACCAATTTTTAATCAATATTTTAAGTAGATGGCGCCGGTGCATGATACATTGTTTGACAGCTACTCATTGTTCTCTGCTCAGTTAATTTCATGTGACAAACCGGTATTGTGTTTGTAGTTTGAACTCTTAAAACCATTTAGTATTTGCGGGATAAATTTAGAAAATCATTGTTTTTCACATGGGCGTCATATTTTGCGTGTTCACGAGTTTGGAAACCATCCGCTTTATTTGTGTTAAAGTTAGACCAAAAAACAAAAAATGTGGTTTACAAAGGAGCACTTCAATGAAACCGATAATTTGCGTACACGTATAACGCTTCTATTCGCTATCTACATAGTTTAGATTCACTTTTATTTACTTAGAGAACTTCAACTAAATAACACTTCATTTTTGTAATCGAAATGAATTCATTACTGTTGTGAAATTAAATAAAAATTTTCCTTTTCAAATTTAAAACAAAAAAAAAAATCTTCATCTTTTAATCACCAAACAAAATGTTATATAAAAGCCTTCTGGTGGCGAAACGGAGTTCGCCGGGTTTACTAGTATACGTTTAAAAATAAATGTAGAAAGTGGAATAGAAAGAAGTCTTATTTATTTACGGTCTGTCGGGACCTAAAAGGAGTTTTAATTATATAAAAATACTATTTATACATACATATATGACACTAAATTTAACAACAGTAATAAAAAGATAGCATAGTTAGCAAATGTCAGAGAGTCATTTTCCCCGAAATTTGAAGTTTATAATATGTTTGAAGCGCCTTCAAAAATCTTTGCAATATAAATTTATGTGTTATTAAAGCTTGAATATATTCTAATAAATAACATATCCTATAAAATAAGACTCTACGCGGTTTTATTATCATCGATTTGGAGCAAATTTATAAAAAAAAATATTAACCGCCATGTCAAGCCGCCTCATAAAAATATAGATTGAATCAAAAAATCTACCTAGAAATTGAGCCAATAATATTATTGTTATATTCATTAATAATAATAAGAAGGGAATGCAGATAACTTCAGTAACACTATGACGCCTCAGGAATGCAAGATAATAATAAGGTATGCATAGATCGATTTCAAGAAGCTACCTAAGCGTACTTGAGATGTCCTCAAGCTCATGAATATTAATTAAATACAAACAATTACCCCTAACAATTATAATGTTATCAAAAGTATATATTTGCGTTATATTCTTTTTATATTAAAATACAAGATCAATAAATTGTAAAGATATGAGTGTTTTAAAAATATTATTACATTCCACGTCTGATACGCTTATAGCTTAAAGTGAATTTTATTATAGAATGTAATTCAGAAAACTTATTTAAATATAAAAATATGTAATTAAATTATATGAAAATATTAAAATAAATGTTAATTTCAATTTCCTTAATAACAATTTCATTTCGGTCATAACAGAAATTTCATTTTCCTGACAGTATTCAGTCACCTTCTAAAAAATATTCTTTATTAAAAATCTCTAAAAAAAAACGGAATATTGTTTGAAACCGTTATTAAATTACATAAAAAAATGTTTTTCACTTAAATGAACTTGAATACAAATCATCAAAAATTTATGCTTTTTTAAATAAAATATTAAATGTAGGTACTATATAAATATATTTTGAAAATATTGCTAAGAAATAACATGAAAATTTTATAAGAGAGCAGTAAATATTACTTAAAACAACATATTATTTAATATACTTTGATGCTTTTCATGAGTTATCAAGTATTTTTTCTCATGTTGCTGTTTTGAACAAAGTTTAGTTTGTCATATCAACCCCCGACGAGTTCGTTTCAGTATTCATAAATAACTTTACCTTTTAGTATTGCAAATGTTACTCATTTCATTATTAGAAATCCTTGTTAAACTAAGGACCATATCCAATTTAAATTCATAAAAATAATGCCTCATCTTTGCTACTTCGTCGTTCTAAATGAAAACAGTTCTTTTATTTGTGGAACAAAACTTTAATCATAATATTTATACCTACCTAATACCATTTTGTAACTAATTTGTAAACATTATTAAAATTTTAAGTAAACCTTACATCTGGAAATGTGACTGGAAATGACATTAAAATATTGCGTTTTACGTCACAGCTTATATTAGCTACAGAAATTAAACTATGTATCTTAATCTGACAAGAAGTATTAATTTTAAACTCAGTTCTTAATGTTACTAATACATTAGATGTAACAAATTTAGGTAAGAAATAAGTGTCCGTAATCGTTACTAGAGGCTTATGAATGATTATGATTCTAATAAACGTGATCACGGGCAGACGGTTGCTGTAAAGTAGCCGAAACGTCGGGAGTATATAGTTTATAGTCAAAAATAAAAAATCGGGTAGTAAATCCTAAAATATTAGTTTCATTTGAATGTAAATATATTTCAAATATTTATTCTGTGCATATCGTATAAAGAAATAGCAAAATAAGGTAATATGTAATATAGGACCTACATTTAAAGAGCATTTTTTTATATAACAATATTTTATTTAACAATTAAATACATGATAATTAATATTTTATTGAACAAATTAAAATTCTTTTCGAGTGTAGGTCGTATATTGCATATAACTTTATCTGCTACTTGTTTATGAATTATGAAGATACGATACATATGTATACGTTTTGAAAGCTTCAATTTTATTTTTTAAGAACTCTTAACTTTTTGTTAATTCGTTATGCTTTTTTTATTGTATTATAAAATTGTCATGTAAGGGGTTTTTATTATTTAGTTTTTAAAATTTTACTCTAAAGAATTACACATTTTTCATTCGTTTTTTCAAAATGTTTACGTATTTTAAGCATGATTTTATTAATAATTTTATTCAATTCTACTTGGTTTTTTTTAAATTAGTTTTAATGAAACTTGAATTGTTTTCTATTTCTTTGCCTTTCAATATTCCCAATCTTCTACTTATTCTTTAAAACGTGCAACTTTATAGTGATTTTTCTTGCTTACAAAGTCGTACACACAAATCACTACATAATCTTACGGACTATTTCAATATAAAAATTACATATCATAATTCTTGTTTTATAAACATGAAAGAAATACGGAAAGAACGGCTTTTTATAAAAAAGTCAAGAACCATTTTTTTTAATATGATATTTACTCACAGTATCTTTATTAAAGATTTTCATAGGCGAGATCCGCTCGTAAAATTTTATAATCACTGTGTTCGAGTGCATGTAATATAATTTTAAGACTATAATTTGTGGTTAAAAATATAGGTTCAGAATAATGCAACGTCATATTTTTCAATACTTAGATCTGAAGTATTCTATATATATTGATGACAAGAATATAAAAATGTATTAAATTAGAAGTTAATACATCTCATACATTTCGAGCAGTAAGCACTTAACTGTAGGTTCATAACTATTTTTGTATTTATACGATATAAATGAACAAAATAGCCTAGATGAGCTTTTAATTTCTTACAATCATTTAACATATCGTAGAACATACTCAAAATTTAACAATCTTCAGAAAAAAGTAAGTAGCATAGTTTAATTTTTATAAATTTAATTCATTCTGATCCTCATGGAGATAATTTATAATGAAAAATATGCATTCAAAATAATGTTTATATCAAATGTTCTAAAGATTTACACGATGAGCTAACTGAACCTTACACCAAACAATATGTCGATTGATTATAAATACCAAAACTGATTACATAAAGGTTTAATCGTATCGAAGCTAAATTCAAACATTAGAGAGTCGAACAAAACATACAACTATACGCGTATTTCACTAACAATTTTCCGTTAACCATCTATTTGTTTGAAATTTGAATCTCTTTCATCTTAAAACAGTTTTCAGCTAAGCCCAATCCCGGTTATCTGTAAGAGAAAAAAAACTTTAACATGTCACACATATGTAAAATGTCACAAGCTAGATCTCATAGTGTATTTAACACACTCGTGTTCATTTACTTATAAGAGTTGTAGAAGCAGCTTTTAATCCATAAATTGTGAGCAAAGTTAAAAAATTTCATAAGCATATTCTATTTTTGTCTTTGATTAATATTTTGTAGCATGAACTTGACGTTCTAATATTATAATTAATTAAGGAGCAATTTGTATGGAAACAATTTTCATTTTCTTATCAGATCGATTTTTTATTAAATTTGCAAAAGTAATAACGTTTAATGAAAAGAAATTATAGTTATATAAAAACTTGTCTTACAAATCACATATTTTCGTCACAAGGCGTTACGATTCTCATTTGAAGCATAATTCTCAAACACAAAACTTATCAATGGTGGTAGAAATTTTAAAACGGCTAACATTGTTAGTTCCTGGATTACATATAGATATCAACTGTAGAATAATACAGGTTTTACAGCAAAAAATCAAGGATGTTGAGAGGACACATGTTAAAACTTGTATCATAAATGAAAACTTCTTTATGGCAGGTTTTTGATCTGGGCCGTGTTAAATTTATTCCACATAAAATTCTACTACAATAAAAGAATATATTCCTTAATATTATATTCCTTAATTCCTGGGTGGTCTAGGAATGAAAAAGAAAACATTGTCAGGAATCCCGGATATATAATTTCAAAATATGGGTCGAAATCGCCAATCCGCTCTAAGCAAACGTGGTGATTAATGATCTAAACTTCACTGCGTGAGAAAATGCTATAACTGAGCAGTGGGCACAAATAAGCTGATGATATTAATATAATTATTGATAGTAATACATACACTTTACCTAGGAAACTTACTTATAAAGAGATCATGTTAGACTTTAGAGCCGTCCAGTGAACCGCAATTTCATCGTTGTTCTCAAGAGCTTGTTTCCCTAAATGTGTGGAGTTTACGAGAAGATCATTAAAGACCTTGTACGTATGTTATGAGTCGTCCGTGCAATGGATCTTCAATAATCTCGGAAATTTTCTAGGTTATAGCAGTGTGAAGTTTGATAATTGAAATTAGCAGAGTTAGCATATCTCTCTTCTTCGATGCAATCACTAATTTGGCAAGTTTTGGCACCATTCCAGTCATTAAACAAAGGCGGGTCAATCATATTCAACAAGAGGTAGCTCATATGAGCATTATGGGTTTTTGTTTATGAGCATTATGGGTGGAGTATAATCCAGGCCACTAGCTTTGTTTGCATCAAGACTGCTCAGAGAATTACTTTGTCAAGCGGGTAGTAACTATGGCAGCGGCCGACGTAACGGTATCCTACAGGAAAATGTATGACTTTTATGTAATATATAAATAAACATACATATGTATGTATGTCTTATATGTATAACTTTTCATTTTTAATATTCTTTCCATTGATATAATAATAGTCTAAAGAAAGATTTATAAGAAAGACTGCTATTATATAAAGTTATAATTATAGCAGTCAACAAAGCAGATTATTATCGTATTGCCACAACCGCAAATTACAGAACTAGTTACTCTGTGACATATCAACATTAGACATATATATAAATATATATACATATCTAACATTAAAAATCATTCTATGCCATTTTCATAGACCGAAAAGGTTGTCGTCTTACGATAGTTTTTACTTTATCTATTTTATGGTGCTTCAACTATTCATTCTTGAAACAAATTCTCACTAAGGTTTTAATTTAAAAATCCGATCTAAGAGTAATAAAAAAATTGTTTGAAAGACTTGATTTTTTATTATTATTTTTCTGTGTCATAAATTGTTATCAGTCATTATAAAGTTCCAGTATCTTTGTGTTTCTGTCGAATACATAAACTAAATTTTATAAATTCAGTCGAAAACGACATCAACATTATATGTCACTTCGAAACGCCTCATTTCTAATATTTCTCCAGTGTTATGTGATACATGGTTTGCTTTAACACAAACAGAATGAAAACCACATAAATTTGTTTTTGTCTTACATAACTATAAAAAAAATATTTACCTTCTTTTAATACATAATAAATATATAACCTATAAATTCTGTACATAAATACGGGGCAATGTAATGACCAGCTAGTTATATCATATTTTTTGGATGTCATGCAGTTAGCACCTGCTCAAGAACCAAATATTTATATGTACTCACAGTTTTTTATCTCAATATTTCACGCCCAACTATGTTTAACACTTCATTTTCAACTATGTTTTAAAATAGAAGAATAAAATTGAGAAAAAACAGCCAAATTTTTTTATTATTGCTGTCTTTGGTTTGATAATATTTAAATAAAAACATTAAAGTAATTCAACTCTTAATTAATTCAAATATTTTATTTAAAATTAACCATTTGTTAAGGGTATCCATTAACCAATTTAACAAACAGACGATCGCGTGAAAATCTGATATTTCGATTACGAGGAATGTAAATTTTATTTAAAATGATTACTAATGTGATTGTTTCATATTAATTGAAGTAATATTTTAGTATGCCAATCATTTATTTATTGTTGTTTGTTCCGTTGTACGTTTAGTTGACTACATTTTCCAAGAATTTTATGTGAGATTTGAAAACTTTAGCTTTCATCATTAAAGCTCATTTTAATTAGCTTCCGTTTTTTGAGACAAAAATGAAAGAAATCAACGGTGTTATCATCACTCTTTCAAGTTTTTTATACTCTATATTTGTTTTCAGAAATCACTTAAAAAGAAAGCAAGGTTGTTTAATTATAAGATCAATTTTTGTTTGGCTTTTTAAAATATATATTTTTTATTATCTGCGTTTTTTTTCTGTGACATGCATTGCGAGGGGTCTTCTTAAACAAATTATTATTATTAAAATTAAACAACCTTTACGAGTAATTTATAATAAAATGAGTTTGTTTCTTGGTTTGTTAATGTATAACCCATCGAATCGTTATATAGAATCGTATCGTAATATAGAATACAACGAGAGATTACAGAAAATGTTTAATCCTTATCATTAATAAATTTCACATATTAAAACATAAAAGAAGGAATGCTTATATGGATAATATTATTTGTTCTTAAAACTAAAGAAACTTAAGATTCTGGTTAGATTAAAATTTATTTTTTGAGCATGATTGACATTCAGAGTTATATTAAAGATTCTGATGAAGTAGGGTAACATTTAAGAGGATTGTTTAAATATTCCTTCAGTAAGCTAAAGTTAAAATTAACATAAATTGTAATCAGAATATCAAGTGATAAAGGTACGGGTCTTGTCTATAAAAATATTAAGTTCTAATTAGATAAAAAAGAAACAGGTAACAGAGTACCATTAACATAACGAAAGCCAAGTTTATTTTTTCGATAAATGTAAATGCAACGATTTCAAATGTTTCTGACACCTACATATTATTAGCATTATTTCTCTAGCTGCAAGTTTTTCTCATATATAATAATTGATTAAACTTTAAAAATAATTTAATGCCACGGTTATTTTGAATATACAGGTACATATACCTCCATAACGAAATATATTTTTTAACTATTTTGGACAATATGGCGCTGTTATCAAATATGTAATTTAAAACGTTTTTTGAACCAAAATTTCGTTCAAGAAAAGGAGAAAAACATTTATAATTTTCACATTATATTTTTAATATTCTTTTCGGTGTTGATTGCATATACAGATTTAAAAATATAATTATCTAAAAATTATGAATTCACTGGACTTGATTAATTGTTGTTAAGTTGTCTAAAAGTAATGGTTGTACATAAAAGTGCTTTATATTTTATACGGGTTCATTCATCGGACAATATTAAAAGAATTACAATTTAAAAGATGGGTTTGAATGCTGAGGATGAGAATGTGGCTTCTCTTTGCTGATTTTTCTTTCTCTTTGTTGTATTTGGTATTAGATTTTTCTATTCTTCGGTTTTGCTTGTCTATTGTTAATCTTTTTTTTGCCATGTTACTTCATTCCTATCCATACTTCGTCATCAGCCTATTAACGCCCACTGCTGAGCAAGGCCTCTTTCTCACATGGAGAAGGTTTGAGCATTAATCACCACGCTTGCTCAAGACGGGTTGGTGATTTCAAACTTATAATTATGAAACTATAAGTCCAGGTTTCCTCACGATGTTTTCCTTCACCGTATGTCAGTGGTGTCTAAATATTCTCAGAAAGTACATATGACTCCGAAAAATCACATTGGTACTTGCCAGGTTTGAACCCGCGCCCACGGCAACGAGAGGCGGGCCCCTTAACCACTAGGCCACCACTGACTACATCCATACTTCATGATATGTAAATATTTATACTTTAATTTCTTGATCCTTTTAATTGCTTATATACCTACTTTTTAAACATATACATATGTATATGTTATGTACACTAGTTACATTTTCATGTTATAAATTATAAATTGTATTATTTAGCCAAAATTTCTCGTAGGAAAAGTTTTTTTTACAGAGACAAAAATTAACAATTTATAATAATGTAAGTATTATAAATTGAAAATGGTAGTTTAAATTTAACAAAAAATTCAAATTGCATAAAGAAACTATAATGACGTTGCTATCGTAACTTTTGACGCTTTGGGGGGCTTGTGACATGATTTTAAATTTAGTTATATAAATTAAGGTTTCGTCAATCCTCTCAATGACTATAACTTCTACAAAAACACTTAAGAAAATTAAACCAACCACGGTCTCACTATCCTCATCAGAATAATCGTCGGAATATCGTCTGGCAGACTTGAACTGTTAAGTATAATGTTTCATAAAATATTCTTATTTTCTTTGAAATTTTTGTAAGTGTTTATTTTTTTTTATTACTTACAATTCTACAACGCACATAGGGGTATTTAGTTAATCTAGCTGGCCAAAAACATTTGTTTAGTTTTTTGAGTTGCTAATGACGGAAATAAAACAAGCGTAATTAAAACGGTTATAAATAATGTTTATTTTTTTATAATTTCCATAAATAGAGAAAAAAACAAAAACCACAATTAAAAAATGTGATTCACATGTCTACATTGATATTATATAATGATGATTAGGGGTCATCCATAAAGTATGTCACACGTAAAGGGGTGAGGGGGGGTCGACAAAGTGTGACATAGTTATATATACTACATTTCCAAATCTATTATATCTAGAGGTAGTTAGCTTGTTGTTAGCACGCGATGCTGGTATAGCCTCAAATGAAGCAATAACAAAAAAATCTCAACTTTGAAGAAAAGTATTGAGCAGGAAAAAATATATTAAAGCGAAAGATTAGCGCAGCGGAAAGACAGACAGAAAAAGTCATTTAAATGGAAATAAAACTAAATTCGGAACTGCAGTTTTAATTTAATAATTTTTCGATGTGAAATTGCAAAACATGTGATGTCACACTAGGGAGGAGGGGGGTCTCAGAAATGTGACCACCTGTGACAAGGAAGGGAAGGGGGGGTCAAAAAATTATTAAATTCGTGTGACGTACTTTATGGATGGCCCCTTATGACACATATGATTCCATTAATTTTACTTCATAGCTACAAGTATTTATAGATAGTGTGGCATGTCTAGAAATATTTATTATTATTAATTAAATTAATGAATAATCAGTTTATCTCATCCTCACTTTCTGATTTAAGTGCGTGCGCGTCTTCTGGATTTGGTGTTGCAGATACAAGCATATTCAATGTTTCAGGAAGAAAAGAAGACTTCTTATTTTTCTTTATTACCCTTGAGGCACTAAAAAAGGGATCTGAGCTTAAAAGTAGCCTATTCAAAATGTCTCTATTACAGGACTCTCTAGAGAATTTTCGTGAGTAATCCTGTCTGTATGACCTAAAATGCTTGTTGCGTGCCTCTGCTGCTTCTTCAGATAGTTGCCCTATGGGTAACAATGCATTTTTTATTATATCCGATCCGTGCACAAGTACTTTGTGCAGTGTGGGTGTCATTGGGTGCCACGGGTAAAGTTTTACGTACAAGAAAGCAGTTTCTTCTGCATATTTTTCATATTTTTCTAAATTTATTTCGTATCCGCTCGAAATCGTTTCCAAAATCACTTTTAATCTATATATCAACTCGTAATCTATTCCTGTAATATCTGAGGATAGTTTCGGATCTTCAAAAAATCTCCTGCTGGTGTTGCCGTCATTAGTGTTTCCGAAGTTTGCTTTCGGCATGTCAACTAATAAGCCAGTTTCATTGCGGAACCTGGTCTGTATTTCGATTTTCTTATTCATCTCAATTTGTTTTTCCTCCTCTGATTTTCTCTGCCGGTACTTTTTCACAGGCAATTTATACGCTAAGTGTAGAATGCTTTCAAAAAATCGTATTCTCGCATGTAAAATAGAAAGACCGAATTCAGTAGCATCCTTTGAAATTCTCTTTTTGTCCTTTAAATTGTTGAATTCTTTGGAAGTTTTCCCACAAATATAGCAACGACTTGTAGATGTTGTTCCAGTAGCTGCGTTGCAAACCTTTCCATCTACCATTGTCATTACAAATTGGGAATGCACCAAAAACTTTTCTCCGTCAATATCCACCTCAGTCGCAACCAAATTATTAATGGAATTTTTAACATAATTGATCTCTGCATTTGTTACATCAGTTGTCTCTTTGACGAAGCGAAATCTTATTGGACGACAAAATCGGGCAGATGAAGGTGTTGGATTTTCCCATAACACCTTTTGATTGTCCTTACCGCAAATAAGTCGCACAGGTACAAAGCAGCTTTGAAAAATATTTGCATCAGAGTCAGCCTCATTTTGAAGTTTTTGTTTGTACTGTGCTTGTTGGGATCCATCGCAGCCCCATTTACATATCAACTTCAAAGTGTTCCGCTCTTGCTCTTTTATTGTCAATAAGACTTCTTCTAAGAATTCCGATAAGCGCTTAACAGTAATATCAATTAATGGTTGCAGTTGGGTTTCCGCGCAGGTACTCGTTATCGTGATCGTTTCTGGAGGAGGATAACATTTCTTTTTGGCTTCTTGAATTAGGCTATAACACGGGAAAAACTTCTTGTTCGTGTTTCTTATAACTTCATACTGTGCTCGTGTTAAATCTGCATCTATAAACATTTTTAAAGCTTCCATGGGGGTTAGACGCGATGATTTTCCACACTTAGAGGTATCGAAAGCTTTTTTGTACTTCGTTGCACGCGTCGGAGAGCTTGTTATATCTTGGAGAACGCGGGAAGCATCACGTTTTCCCGATTTTCTCAGTTCAACTTGAGCTGCGTGAACTATAACACCATCTTCTACATTGGAGCGGATCTCTTCAGTTTTTTTCTTCTTTTGCTCCTTTCGCTAGATTCACCAAATGATTTACGAGGGCGACCTTGACGATTTTTAGTTGTGACTGGAATTTCGAAATTGCCTTCCAGCCAAAGATGGTTGTTTGTTAAGAAAACCTCTTCTTTTTTGTGCGATTTAATCCACCTTTGCTTCATTTCTGATTTGAAATGTGAAAAATTGCGTTTCAGTTTATTTAACTGACTTTCACTAAGGTTGTCTTGAGTTAAAAGGTGGTCTCTCAAAAAACATAGCTTTTCTTCTAAATTACGTAAATTTTCATTCTTCATCTTATCGAAGAGTGATTTACGAGTCACTATTCTCACTCCAGAGGAACCCTCTGAACCTAAAACAAAATTTAAACATAAATTACTATTTCACTAATTTCGACTGTAAAAAATCAAAGTACTCTGCTTTAACGTATCTGCGCTATTCCGCGGCTAATTTATATAGGATTCGTTACTTAAGAATCTACTTTTTAAATATGAATGACAAAAAAAGCCGGATCTACCCCGATACTAAAACAAATACATCTTTAAAGATAAAATTTCTTTAAAAAATCTTCTCATTTTAGACATTATTCCTCGGTCACTAAAAATATATGAAACAAAATTAAATTTTATTTATTATATAACATTTAGATTGTCACATACCTGTAGTCTCCGAATCCATTGCTTCTTTGCACCAGGTTAACACAGAAAACTGCAGTTTAGCTCACAATTTTAATGCTTTCTATAAATCGCCGATAACTGACAAATGCACAAAGTTCGATGATCAAATTCCGACTGAGTTTGCCAGATAACGCGCAACGGGAGAGGGGCGGGGACGGCGGCCTATTGTTCGTTGGAGTGTCCCCTGCATTAGGTAGTCGAATGCGGTAGCATTTTTGTAACTTTGTTATTTTGACTTTTGGCCGCGTAGATAATTAAAATACCCGTCTGTGCAACGAATCAGGATGTATGTATATACTCAGGAAATATAAAATACTTTCACTGCTTACTTTAATGTCTTCAAATCTGACTAATGTCTAATTGTTTTGACGTTTCTAGCTTTATTCATACGATTTCATCGACAAGCATTTTATAATTTTTTTTTCAACAAAAATCCTTATTTTGCTTATAGAAAGCATCAGCAGAATTCGTTTTGGAAAATCTAGATTTAAATAATTTAAAAGTCATAGATATATAACATACATCTATGACTTTTATGAAATGTATCATAAGAAAAACACAAAAACAATGCAGAAAATGTTAGAATAATATTTTATGCATGCTATGCACTCTATTTAACCCGGAGTATATACAGGCAGGCTTAGCGAGTTAGACTCGTAGCTAACATTAGACACTAAAATAATTCTCAAGCCTTTTATTTCATCAAAGTTAATGTACATATATGCATCAAAGCTTCGTAGATCTTATCAACGAGCAGACTAAATTTTACAATATTTATGTGTGCTTTATAAAAACGGACATTTTCTTTATCTGCATAAATTAACACCTGAGTGTCTACACAATTAATAACGTCCAACTACTTAAACATATGTACATATATATGCAAATACATAGTCTGGCCATAACGATTGTTACAAAATAAAAAGAAACAAAATATTACATTTGTATATATAGATAGTATGTTTACTTTACTACTTTTCAACTTCATTTTAATTCTTGATTTAATTATATAAAAACCTCTTAAAGAAATGATATGTAAATTATATGATTGTAAATTTTAATTTTAAAGAAAATTGTCCACTTAGTCGTCAGTTTAATAAAAACAATTTTATATAATGAAAAGTGACATACCTATAACTTTAAATAATTAATTATTCTATTGGCACGTCGTCATATAATCCTGATAAGCTTTTCATTTCATACGTTTATTAATACCATTATTATCAATATTTTATGTCTTGAAAAACTATGAAAGTTTTTAAAAAAGTTCCTTCTTGAATAAATATTCTAAAATTTCTTAATGAAATAATAACGCATATCAATCCTATTACGTCACAAAAAGTATTAATGTTCCTACTTATATAGTTTTCAATTTCTAACGAAGGGTTTTTAGGTCAAATTTAAAAACAAATTACAGTTACAACAGTTACAAACGGTGTTATTAGACAAGTAACCCTTGTCACAGAGTTTTTAAAAGTCTGCTTTTTATAATGATTTTGTAATACCAAACAGTTATTGAACCGATTGTTTGGTACAAATAAAGACTCGTAGTTAATGAACGCAATATTTTGGTTCTATTTACTTTTGCTTTGAAGACATTTAAATTGGGAGTGAAAAATAACACCGATGCAGACAATAGTGCCAATCGTTTGCTGTGTGCATGAAAAAAAGGAAGCGTATCGCTTCGTCCAGATCCAACAAAGATCTAGTGCTAAAGAATAGAGGCCTACTGCGTATCTGTCAATTGTAAAAAGGGGATATAAAAATTAAATCGTGCTATATTTACACATATTCTCTGAAGTGTATAAAATACGAAAGATGAGCTACTTTAGGCATTTGATGAAGCTCGGCTAGATTGATTTTGTTAATCATGGTCATGATAAATGCAATTCACTCCTACGAATTTATTCTAAGTAAAAATAAAACACCAATCTTCTATCTATATATATATATAAATGGATTGCTGTTCCTTAGTCTCGCTAAAACTCGAGAACAGCTGAAGGGATTTATCTTATCTTAGTCTTGAAATGTTCGTGGAGGTTCAGGGAAGGTATAAAAGCTGAAAAAATTAATTGATTACTGGGAAAACCATAAAAACAGCCCTTTTCTTTTTCCCATACAAACGGTTTTTTTTTACTTTAGATTTGACAATTAACTAATATGTTAATCATTCTGTCGCACTTTTCTAGTTATAATACAAGTAACCCCGTAATTACATTTTATGACTGACCTTTTTAGTTGTCACGAAAATAGTTTAATGATTTTTACATATTGATGATAATGATTTTTACATCAAACGATATCGACCTATTACATACATATTATTATACACGCGAATATTTTCATTGATGTAGTTTTATTAGTTTTTATGTGATTTTTTATGTTTTGGTCTTAAATAATAAAATAGTAAATTAAATAGCTTCAGACGGCTCAATTCTTTAATTGTTTTTTTCTTTTTATAAGAGCAGATGTATATTCTACAAAATAAATTGTATAAAATGATCATTGACTTAACCTGGTAAAACACGAACTCCTATCTCTATTGGGTTCTCTTACTTCAACCCGATGCCCTTGAAGACAAAATTAAAAGCATATCTGGAAACCAAGATATCACATCGACACCCAACTTCAACAACAATAAGTAAGAGACGTTATGAAACGTGTTCTTTGACCCTGATGATGGAATAATTACAGGTAATACAGACACACAATAACTTCACATACTCCCCAACCTTCAAGCCGATATTACTAACAACGAAGTTTTATATGCTATGTTATTCGGAGCTCGGAATATTTTCATATAATACTAGCATTGTTACGTTTTAAAATGAAATATTATGATTTACTTTCAATGTTATGCACTAGTAATCGTCACAATTTATTGTAACGCTTAAGGACTATTTGAGATCATCAATATTAATGTGATTTCCACTTTGTATTCAAATGCGGCTATCTGGTAAATTAATGTAGGAATACATTCGTCTTATTATCGATCACTCGATCACGATCACGATCACCGTTCAATTACAAATGCATAAACTAATTGTCAAATACGTTGTAACTTATTTATTTATAATGGTAAGAGACATTTAATTTTAGTCTAACTTTAAAATAACAAGTATTTATGTCTTAGTTATTAATGTTTTAAAACATTAATTTAAACATGTACATATATTTAATTTTTAATCAATAACAAAAATCTCTATTCTTTTAATTTTTTGTATTAAATACAATGATGAAAAATTGTATTCTGATCACGTTTTTGATTTGTCGAATGTACTTAGAAAATGATTCAGAATAAGTATCTGTAAAATGGCAAAACCTAATATAAAATATTTTTTCTTCAAGTGACATTATTTTAGAAGAGAGCGGAGAAAAGAATGAATGTGTTCAATAGATATTCTGTGCAAATATTACAATTTGAATGACTTTATAACCAAAAAAATCAAATTATAGACAATATAATATTAGATACAAAAACATAGGTCTACTGTCAACAATGTATTTAGAACAATTTGACGTGTACTAAACAAGCAATTTATAAACCCCTTAAATTGAGTAAACAATAAAACTTATGGATTTTTATTAAAATAAGTTCTGACTTCAATACAGTACAATATTCTTTTGAACCAAACTTTGTAACTGAAATAACTTCAAATAATAGAAACAAATGTAAATTTCTCCACTCTATTACCATGAAAAATTATTTCTTGTTCGTTGAAAGTATATTATTTTTTTTTTATATATATCTTCACACAGAAAATGTTTATCTTAAGTAATAGTAAATGAACAAAATAAAATAAAAATAGACCACAATGAGTTTTCTTTAAATGAACCTATTAAAATAAGTTAATATATCTTACTAGAATAATTTCAGAATGTTTTCAACGCTTTGAAAGAGACAGATAAGTTAAGCTTCCAATAAGTTTCTATTTTTATTTTGAGGTAGATAGGCAGTACCCCAAACAGACTTATTAGATTATATATTTATCATTAGCCTATCAGAGCCCACTGCTGAGCAAACGCCTCTTTTCACATGGAGAGGGTTTGAACATTAATCACCACGCTTGCTCAAGACGGGTTGGTGATTTCAAACTTACAATTGTGAAATCAAAAGTCCAGGTTTCCTCACGATGTTTTTCTTCACAATCTGTCAGTGGTGTCTAAATACTCTTAGAAATTACATATTATGACTAGGAAAAATCACATTGGTACTTACCAGGGTCGAACCCGCGCTCTCGGCAAGGAGAGGCGGGGCTTTAACCACTGTGCCATCAGTGACTTAAATGATATACCTAATATAGAAATATATAAATCTAATTTTATCACCAAATTTTAATACTTATTTGATCATTAATATTAAATGAAAATGTTTATTGCAATAATACTGTCAAAATAATCGTTTCTACGCAATCGTATTTTTAATAATAGAATTCCCGAGTGTTTAGTGTTGTTTGCTCCTATAAAATAAAATTTTCAGACCATTAATGTCGCTACATGTTTCGCTAGTATATGACCACCCATTGACTTAAAAAAAATCATCATTAATGTAGATAAAATCCACGAATTTTGGTTTTTACAACTAAATTATCCTAAAAACCATATTCTTACTTGTACTAAGCGATACGGTATGTTTTACTATTAGTCCAGTCATTTTAGGTTTCATCTGGGGAAAAATTCCTAGTGAGCTGAATTTTTGTATACACCTTTATTACGGCGTTATTATGAAGTTGTGAAAAATCGACATCGATATCGTGTCGGCTAAAAAAATTACAGAGGTCAAAAGGTCACGAAAATCAGTTTTTTGCAAATATTTCGCTACCTATTGCTCGGACGTCAATAGAGGTCATTATAAAAATTGTTCCCCATAAAATTGTCTACAAAAATGTCTCTTATAGTTTTTCTGTAAAATGAACGGTTTTCGGATCATAGCGCTGAGAAAGCGACTATATTGTGACGATGCACACGTTTCCTCACCACCTTCGAGGTAGAATGCAAGGCGCGTTTTTTTTACATGGTTTCCCCCGTAGGCACAAT